TTGGATGTATTTTCGTAATAACGATTTTAATCCTTTAGGACAGGAATGTTTCGAAAGTTTATATCACGAACATCCAAAGGTTTACCATTAACTTTTTCAGCGAAACGTTTATTTAGTTCTGGATCATTATAACTACGTAAAATTCTTTTGATTCTTAATGCCGTAGGATGCAATGGCAATGAATTCTCTCCAGTATTGGCAGCTTTAATCATAATTTCTATCTTTGAACCATCTGGAAGTATTATATCTGAATAAATTGTACTAGTATATTCAGGAAATGTGTTAGATCGTTCAGTGCCTGTCAAGGCATCCACGTTGATATCAATCGCCTTTAAAAATTTCCTCTTATCAGGTCCATCACAGAAAATTCCGCCACCATATCTAGTCACCTGATCATCTTCTTTATTAGTGAAACTTCTACTGAAAGAGGATAGGATTGGATTGCATCTATTTGTAAATCGTCTTGTTAGTTGTCTCAAGTTGAACATTTTTGAATTTTACCAAAATTCAAAATTTAAAATTTTGTACTAGAATGAATTTTGAAAACTGAAACTAGTTAGGTTTGTCGGAATAATTTTAAATTTCAATGCCTGCTAAGATTATATGAAAAAATTTCTTGTTTTTCTTTTGTTTTTATATTTAAATTCTGTTTTAGTTAGCAATCAAGTTAGTTAGAATGATTCTAAAATTTTGATAGGCTGTTCTGAAACCTAGAATCTCTTCAATATCCTATTTTATGCAAATCGGATGTAAAACGTATTATAAAATTAATTTAAATCTAAAAGTCAGAATAACATTGGAGGATAGAAAGTACTTATAAGCTGATGACTTTGGCGAAGTGTTGATATCTGTTACTAAACTGTCCTTAGACTTATGGAAATGTTAAACTAAACATTGCAACAGTCCTCTACTACTCACAACTTGAGTGAAAAAAACAATCAAAAGCACGGGACCATAATTGGCCAATAGAAAAGGCCAGATTGACTGTAACAGATGCAACGGTCCCCTACTGCTCATAGCTAAACCGTTTGAAAGAAACTATTAAAGAAAAATGACCGTAAACTGCCAATAGAAAAAGAGTTCTATCAAGATAGGTCTTTGATAACTCGGAGCAAATCGGAACTTGGTTGAGACGTTTTAATACATTCAGCATATAACCCGAATTGTCTGAATATCAGAAATTTGTTTCGAGGAAGAGTTTTTTTATATAATTTCAGTAATTTAAAGGAAAATTGAATTAGTGAGAGATTACAATGAATTAATATTGAATATTAGATCCGACTTTTCACAGTCTAACTACCATTTGTTCTTTGGTCTTTGTAAAATCTTCTTAAAGATAAATTGAGCTGGAAGCCATTTGGCCAAATTTGTACCGATAAACTTCAAAAGTTCTATACAGATTTATGATGATACCCAAAAATGGCAAGAGGTCATAAATAACAGTCAATATAGCATTGATTAAAATTAATTTTTAATAAGCAATTTTTTTTTATTTAAAAATTCACTAAAAAACTCATGCAGGGAGGGGTTATGAAGAAACCTCCAAGTTAATAGAGAGTAAACGTGCTCAAGTGCACTAACTCAACTAGCCTCAACATAATAAGAAAAAACGCCTGTTGCTTTAATTGGATTGTTTTCGTTATACCCCTAAGCTGGTAAATGGATTATGGAATAAATAATAATATAAATAATAAAATAATTTTATTGAGAGAATTCTCATAAGCGTGTTTTACTCTTAGTATATTTAAATATTGTTACTAACCTCCCTTGCAAGACTTAAAAAATCTTCTCATCTTAAGAAATGTTTAAGGATAAGCTGCTTTTGTATAAGAAATTTTACGTGAAATAAAAGAAGCAACAGATAAATGTTGTTGCAACCCATAAGAAGGATTAAGTATTTTAAAAATGTAATATCAACATAAAGTTCAACTACTTAAGTGTTCGGATAATGGACAAAATAGCTAACGAAGATGTGCAGGGATTTAACATAATAAGCTCTTTATTTGTAGTTAAGAATCAGTGCAGGACATTTCAACTTCAAATCACACAATAATATAAAAAGATTTGCTTTCTTCATGAGTTGGATTTTCACTATCGAAATCAGTAATAACCTTTCAGATATTAAATCTAGTAAGAGAGTTAATCTCAAAGAAATGCCATTATTCAAGTATTCCGTGGCATGTTTTAGTTAAAAGGATTTATTGTTATTGTTTATTTACTTCATTAAATATTTACTTGTGTTTCAAAGTTAATCAACTGAAAATTTGCACATGCTGTGCAAACAATTTTCACTTTAAACTGAAGCTTTGAAAAAAAGATACAATATGCGAGTATGAAGTATACTCGTATATATAAAAAATTTAGAAAATTACGAAAATAAAAATTCTGATATGCTCTGTAACAAAATTGACAGCGCATTTCACGTTTATTCAACGTATGAACACGGTGACAGTTTAACATTATCGTCGATATTATTATCATCAGCAGCAATAGCAACAGTAACAGCAATAGCAAGAACAACAGTAGTAGCAGTAGTAGGAATACATGTATGAGCAACAACAACGGCAACATATTGGCACGTCATGGTGACGCATTGCTCGACGTTAGAATGACACGAAAAATACATTTTCCAAAACCAAGAAACCAACTGAACTCACCAAACGTACCAAATGTACCAAATCCACAAAACCCAGCCGTACCATGAGCATTGAAAATCGTTGTGGGTACTTTGTCTGTTGACGTAATGAGTTTGGCTTGGGCGTGGATATTTGTATAATTTCCACATTTCACCATTTTTACTCATATCTCATATGTGCTAAAAGGACCTGCAACACCGCTGTACCTTCACACACATGCAGGCAACTGCCAATATGAACAAAAAAGCAAATAAAACAACACCTACTAAAGTGAAAAAAAACGAAGCGCAGATCTAGAAACCTAACACTGATTTTCATGGAATTCATTCACGCCAAAAACTGAAATTTGATTGATTAACTTGGTAACTCAGTTACAAGCCATTTTTGCCACACACATATCCTTGTTCAGTTTATTTTCACTTTTTGATGAACAACAGACGATGGAGACCAAATTGGAGTTTGGGCACTGCATTAAGGGTTGCTAAAATATTTTTCTTCATTATTTCGTGGATGTAACAAAAATTTATAAGAGAGAAAAAAATCACACTTGGAGTTGGAGTCACGTTTTGGTACTAATTTCATTTTAACTTTGGTCATTGAAGAGGGAAAAAGTTTTGATATGTCAGAAATGAGATGTAGTTTTTTTACTTTCGCTTTAGTTATACGAGATCCGCACTAATAGAACTCTTTTGTTATAATAAAAATTCACAAATATTCAGCACGGAAGGTAGATGATGAAACATCGCCAAAAGGAAGTTGAGTCCACAAAATGATTTTAGTTTTGTGAAGTTTGATAAATTTTGGAATATTTTTTGGAACATGTCAAAAAAATGCGATGAAGGATTATTTATTGAAATATAAATGATAACTAAAGCACATAGTTATTATTACTTATGATAAGAATTATATATCAACATACATACTAACACATGGATAACTTTCAAAGGAAAGTTATTACTTTTTAACAAAATAATAACATTATAATAAAATAATTACATATTAATACTTTTATAAGAAAATCAAATTATAACGGTACGAACAGTAATGTAGAAATAACAACAAATATTTTAGTTAATTTATTAAAATTTGGCTGATCATACCACGCTGTTTCGAGTATTGACAAGTACTCATCATCAGCGATCTTAGGAAATATTCGAGTTTTTTTTATTTAATTATGAAAAATATGCGAATGTAAAAGTCAAGAATGACTTTGGGGCAGTTGGTTAAGGAATACTGACTTTGACAAGACACGAGTTCGTTTCCTAGTACTTTTCCAAAAAATTATTTACGATTAATTAAATATAAGATATAATTTCAAGACCACTGATGATGGGTATTGCAATACAGCTGTATGGTCAGCCAAAAATTCAATTAATTAAAATAATATAAAATGAATTTTTATTCTTGTACTAAACGACTGTTCGAAAAACTGCTTTATTAAATTAGTTTCTAATCCGCATATAATTTGTTGGACTGCAGGTGCCAGGCTTAGAACTCGTGGCTGTTAAATAAGAAACGCGTCACATTCGAGAAAAAAAATTAACATCCAAAATAAAATTATTTATTCTTATTTTTTTAAGAGTGAAACGTCATGCACCTCTAAACGGATCTAGTTAAATTGAAATCATATTAATATAAATAACATGGACCAAGTTAACACATTGATTGGAAGTTAGCACCATCAATATTCTACTAATTTTATAGACTACTAAACCAATAATATAGAATTTAAGAAATAGACAAAAAAGACACTGCCAAACACGTTAACTGGGAAGGGAGTTGGAATAACTGAAGACAACTTAATGAATGTTCATATAACCTACTTACTTACTGCTATCCCTCTCTCTTATTGGAGCATAGTGCCTCGAATATGGTTTTCTTACAAAAAATAATTTTAGTTTGAAGTACATATGACTATCTTATATCATGTTTCTACAGCAGCTGAAACCACTTATGTTAATGAAGTTAAGATTTGGTCGTCTCCATTAGCATAAGCTGATTTAAGCATGAGAAATAGTTTGTTTGTTTTAATTTTAAATACAAAATATATGATAGATATATCAAATTTTGATCCATTCGATATTATTCGTCTTAAATCTATTAATTTATTTATAATCAGCTCATTTATATGAAAGCTTTTTTTTACGGTAAATCATCCTCATTAGCGGCAAAACTGGCTAAATGAGACAGTAGAAGCATGGTATTATACTCAATAATGTTATCTGTATAACATGATGCTTAAGGAATAGTGCTAGAGCTTTAACTCCTATTTGATTCTTTCATCATTGAAAACTGTATATTTAATGTAACATGAGGGCGCAATAAGAAAAGCTTTTGTTGACTTTTATATATATTTTGATAGGAAAAAATAAAACTTTTAAGAAATTTTTAGTCAACGAAAATCTAAATTATAAAGTTTCTGAAACGGTTATACTATAGAAATTTTAGATATTATATGTCCAAGAATTTAAAGTACGTTCCTAAGACTTGTTATCTTCTTCATCGTGTTCATTACCTCGTGGAACTACCTAAATTTAACTTAAGATTATTTTTGATTGTGCATTTAATAAGAATATATCAGAATAATTTACCTTATTGTTTTCTTCCACCTGAACCCTATTATGTGTAACTAAATGCCCCACATATTTGTTGGAGTTCAAGTACATGGAAGAATGGTATGGAAATACTTTGCAGTTTCTCATAGACAATTTTACCTCTTTAAGTCTTTTTTTTAATTGCAAGTTGTTTTTATTACTGCATTTAAACTTCCTGTGAACCTTTTCATCCGATAAAGATTTTTTATTAACAAAGACTGAAATCTTCTCAGCAAGACATTGTTCCTTTTTGATCGGTTTTCTTGTGTTGATTTCATTGACTGTCTTTAATATATTTTCTATACCAAGTAGCGGAAGCTTTTCTGTGGGAGACACTTCATATTCATCAATATCTAATAATTTTTTAAAGGTTTTACAGGACAATTCATTTGGTAATAACTCATTTTGCATTTGAAGTGGGATTAAATTTTTATTAATTGCAGCATACTGATCAAATTTCTGGTTGCATGGAAACTCCATGCATTTAAAATACTTCAAATCATGTATAGTTAAAACATCATCTTCAGTATTTGAACTTAACGATATCCATAGATTACGTTTTGGGAATATATCCAATGGTTTATAGGTAAAATTGTTGGTCTCTTCATAATTGGCAGCTGAAGATATATCTTTAATGTAAGTTTTGTTATTGAACACAGAAAGAAAATTTGTTTACCTGCTTTTTTAAGGATAGAATATTTTAAACTAAGGTTACGCCTCAGTTCCGGTTTGGATGGGATATGTTCAGGATGTGTTAACTCATCAATTGTAGTTGGACTTGTTTTAGACAGAGTTTTGGATGAACGCGTTTTTTTTGTATTTTTGATATTTACATTCAAATTTTGTTGAAAATTAGGTGAGAGCAACAATTTGCTCAAGCCTAATTGACGCAACATCCCAAATAACTACAACGGACAAAAATAGGAAAATTTATAATTGATTTAGGTTTTTAATAATTTAATTTTACTGAACAAAAAAAAAACCTAAAAATATTGGATATATCAAAATTCAGAAAACTTTTTCGATTACTTAGATTTTTTATTTTTTTTATGCAATATAGGTTCTATATATAATCTCTTGACAAACATGTTAATATTGAAAACATATTGTATATAAATTTAAGCAGTTATTTTGGCAAATTTTACAAATTAGGTTTTAATGCCATATATCAACAAATATTATACGTTACTTGTGTATACCATTTTCTTTCTTTTTCTACGTAGTAGTCTATAAAGAAAAGGAACCGACTATATTTCTTGTTTTTCTTACTCCCTGATATGATAGAGTCTAAAGTATTCAGGTCATTAAATATGTTACCACTATTTTTCTTCTTTCTTCTGCCAGTGTGTGACAGTCCATAAGGAACTAAGTCTATATTCTATTATCTTTCCATTTTTGAATGTTTTTCTTCATTTTTGCACGAATTCTTCTTATATCGACGTTCAGTTCCACTCCTCTAAACCAATATTGCCAGACTATTTAATCAGACTGGTATTTTCATATCTCTCATGTATTTCACTACAGTATCCTACACGAAATATTTGTGGGATCCCTTATTTATTATGTTAAGACCAAACGATTTTTAATATAGTGTTTTCACAGGTTAATTGGTCAATTTTTATTGATTATTGTTTAAAACAAAAATTAAGACAAAAAAAACAAATTATTTTCTAATAATCTTCATTTAATAGATATTTAGATTTTAGTCTAATAGACTTTAGTTTCCGAGTGATGACTGATGAAAACATTTTATTATGTATGTGAGTGTTATTATTTCTTATATATTTTTTAAAATTGATTCGTCACCAATTTTGACCTCATCATTTTGCTTCGTATGGAGAGCAATTTACTTGTTTCGGAAACTTTAGTACCCTACAGAGAATCCATTTATTTTGTCATTAATCGACCAGTTAGTATGATACCTACAAGAAATTCCTAGAAAACCGAAGCAAACTTCTTTTAGGTTATGATATTCCACTTTTGTACTCCAATTCGTGTCAGCAAAATACGTATATTTCGGTTTCTGATTCCCTACCTAGAAAATTCGGCTATATCGTCGATTCTATAGACCCACTTTACCAGTCATATACAACTTTGATACGCACTTTTATTGTCCAATTTTATAATGTTTCCATCTTATTGATTTTATCAAAAGTAAATTTCTTAACAAGTTTGATTGTGATAGTAATCAGAGAGTTCAACTATCGCATATTAAAAGCGATATCAAGAATGTCTCATTGCTGTTTTTTTTGCACAAAAATTCTATTTTATTTCTATCAGCAAAAATACGGTTCCAAATGGGTTTAACTTTATTCCTCGATAAAGTAGCATCTCATTCTAATTTTTCCACAAATGGTAGTTTCCTCTTCCCAGGAGTAACCTTGAAGTTTTCATATGCAACTGATGTAAACTACATTTAATTAAAAATCACAGGAATTTTAAAAACTTTAATTTTTTTTATCAACAATACTAAACAAACCCCGTAGATAAAAAATTAGTTCAATGAAGGGAAAAACATTAACAAAGTTTAGTATCAACTTCTTTTAACTCAAAGAGTGTAAGCACATAATTTAATTTATTTTGCACATACTAATATTGTCAGAAACAGACACAAATCCCTAACTTAGAACAAAGCACTACCAGACAAGCTACGAAGACAGACTTGTCGCAGACAAATACACAAAACTAAATGATATATCGAGTCAACGCAGGATTTTTCGTGCAGACGCAAGGACATTCAAATGCTGAACGACAGTTAAACCGATTACAAACACTGTGATAACGTCAAAAATATACACTAATTTGTTGTTATGTACAGAAAGGAGGAGCCAAGGAAAGGGAACACAATGACACAATAGAGAAGAATTTGAAAATAAACTCTTTTTTCGTAATCCGCTTTTAAACTAATCAGACTTAAGAATTAATTTTAAACTTATTTTGCTATTATTTGGTACATCAAATATTTAAAATGAAATTAATTTCTTTTTTTTTTTGCTAGCACATGATATTCATTTAGTCCTGGAGGATAATGAAGTGTCGTTGACAAATTGTGTGCATATCGTTTGCTGGTATACTTCACTGTGATGAAGTGACGAAATGCTTTATGGTTAAAAGTATGAGTGCTTCAGTTGCAGACAACAGAATTGTCACTGCAAATTTGGTTATGTGTTGTGTCTTCATTTAATCATTTCATTGCCAAAACGTGACGTACTACAGGGTTATGAAATGAAAAGTTGTCCTGGACTATTATTTGTTGACTTTGTGAAAAGTTCGGTCAAATGGACGTTCTAATTGCTACAAATTTATTTAAAGTAATAAAGACTATTATGTTACTGTATTGAAAATATTTACATAGATATTACCTACAGAAATTGAATGGATGTTACGTTCTGGATTTTTTAGTGCTGTTAGTTGGCACTTCTGTAAAATTATTATTACTAAATTTCATTTCATCGGCACTTTTTTGTTGTAAGTTTTTCATTTCATTTTATTTTTCATTGCATTTTTTGGTGGTACTTATATTGATATTTACACATAGGCTAAGCTGAGCTACATGGGTGAGTGTAGTTAACTATGTTTGATACAAATTAAATTTAGTACGATGATTCATGGCCAGTATCATAAAAGTATTCAAGTCTATATTATTGCAACATAAAAATATCTATGAGTTCACTTTGTTGAATGTGTTGGGTCTATGTTTTAGTTCTATTCATTATATTATAGTTCTTGTCTATTATAGCTCTATAAATAATATATTTTATTAGACTAAATGTTAGAGTTCGATATAAGTTGACCAATTTACTCTGATCCTAGATTTCTATTGTGATACATCTACTTGTAATGGGATCTTAACTGTTTCAATGATAGAATTGTGTAGAATCAAACACCTTTATCTCTTAGCGCTAAAGACATATTTTTCTAAGAGGTGTGTTCTGGTTTTACCTGTCGCTGGGCAGTTTTATAAAAAATGTTTCTATCCATATAAGGGAACTCCCAGGCAAAAATTATGACTATCATATAGGCAGTGATCGATTCAGTAAAAGTGTTTCGTTGTTATTTTTCCCTTCTAATTTACAACTTCTACAGTATTCTAAAAAATACACATATCAAGATATAGTTTCCCCTTGGTAAGGAGCGAGGCCTATTAATACCTATGGTGATCTTTGGATCACAGCACCCGGTGGAAAACAGCAACTCCACGCCGAATGAAATTAAATAAATATCATCATTCTTTCCATTTAAGTTTATGTTTTAATCATAGCCCCCACGACACTGCACTGTGGGCACCTGACTCTCATGATACGAGATTGACACTTCTGGTCAGGTGTCGCAAGTAAATCTCACTCAAACCATTCACACTTCAAACAGCGGCAAAATCGCACTGGAATTTAAGTCATGCCTTACTTTGGGAATATTGTAATCCCAACACCCCGCAGGGAGGTACCATATAGTCAATGGTGGAATCAAAAGTCACGATCTCAGAGGTGTGTTCTTTTGGAAATTTGATTCCTTGATTTATTTTACCAAATATCAGCCATATAATTGTATTATTGTAGACAGAATACACGAATGTATCCATTTGCTCAAGACCTATTAGACCTGTTGAACGGTACCATGCTTCTTCAATAATTCACAGGCGTTAGATAGTTTTCCATCGGTATTGTGTGTGCACAGAGGAAGTTTGGTACCCCATAGGTATACCCTGAAAACGATGTTGCCAGGCAACTTTATGATATTTCGATCATTTCTGTTATTTTCTTATTTAAATGAATTCCATTGAAGTTAAAAGGATTAATTTGGTTTTAATTGAACTACCTGTTATATCTACAACTACATAAAGCAATGTAAGACATTTTTTAAGAATGTTCCGTAATAGAGCCCTTTATGTGTTAGTTAAGGTGTGCTTCAGTTATTCAATTGTTTCGTATGAAAACATTTGTAGTGCCTCATCTTTAGCTTGGCAAGGGTCTATGTCCTAAATGTAAGTAAAAATGAAGCACTTTGTTTTAATTCTCAACAAACAAAATGAACCGTCCTCGAATATAGTACTATCAAAAAAAAAGGACAAAATAATGTTGATATTTAAGCATTTACTTACTCAAACCACTTGCTTAGTAGTAATAGTAGTAGCAGTAATAATTTAGCGTCCTTTTCACTTGCAAAATATAAAGCAAATGAAAATGTAAATATTTAAAGAGGATAATAATGAAGGGTAATAATGAATGAGATATCAACAAGGAAACATTGAGTAACTGCCACGACTTGACTCCATTAGGTTTGATGAAAAATGTTGTCATAGCAACAGCAGCTGTTGCAGGTATCTGAAAGGCAATCTAACGACTTCGCAAATAGTGAGGGTGGAAGTGAACTTAATCTGAAATTGATATTAACAATAACTTGACTTAACTGACTTAAGGTATCGACGAGAGCGCTATTGACTATGAAGTGAACTGGTAACTTGAGACTGTTTCGTACACTCATTTTAATTAATTTTCCTGCTGCTGGGCAAATTCTCATTTCATCCTGCCACGGTCGCTTGCAGCACGTCCTTTGCTGCTTTGCTGTTGATGCTTTGCTTTAAGCCTTTTTAATATATATTTTTTCGTTTTGTTATTTTTGGTATTTGCTGATACAATCAATTCGCACTTATCAAACTGTCAGGAATACGACCAAGTCATTTGAATTACTGTTGACATTTTGATGCTTAAAGCTAATTTGGGTTTTGTTAAATATTTTATGATTCTGTTTTCTTTAAAGATTTACGAAGTTCCTTTAAGTATTGACTTGAAAACGAAAGTCCAACATAGCATAAATATTTGATAATTAAGTGTAAATTTGTTAGAGATGTTTAATGGCACTACTTCATAAATATATTATTTATTCTCATATTAAAGTCCTTATCCTGCAACAGGCTGCTCTCTATTTTATATTATTTCGATCACATTTTTTACAGA